CATTTTAAGTAGTTTAGTCCCTGGCCTTTCTATACATAACATAAATGCATCAGTGCTGATTTCTCTTTTTTTTTTCTTTTTTTTTTTTGTTTTTTTGGTACATTGGAGGGTTAGCTGTTTGGATTGCATAGATTTAAACTCGACCCTATGTCAAGGTTTTGAAGTTAGTAGATACAAATTTGGCTAAGCACTTGGAGGTGTATCATTGCTGATTAAAAAAAAAAAATGCTGCATCCTTTGCGCCATACTAACCTCAAGCATGTAATGTGATTAACCAATTTGGCCAAGCTCTTGTTGGTGCACTATTGCTGATAAAAAAAAATGCTGCATTCTTCGTGCCATATTAACCTCAAGCATGTAATGTGATTAAGTCCAGGAGTTTGCTCATGTTGTCAGTTGTATTTTCATTTTTGCTAAACTTGCTTCTTTGGGTTCCCAACCCCATGAGTTTACTCAGGTTAAAGCTTTATTGATTAACATAATGAACTGCTTTGCAGGAGTTGTGGTAGGGTTAAGCTGCCTCACTTCTATTGTTGCAGTGGAGAGAGAGGAGCAACAGGTGAACGTAGTGGCAGTGGCTCATCTAATTGATCAGGTTTTCTATATGCTCGTGCAGTCAAAGAGATACATAGTTAGCTTTCGATTTTCATGTTTTATTAGATGGTTAACGCCTCGTTTGGTATGGTTTTAGTTTTTTGTTTTAGTTTAAATAAATATTGTAACTCTAAACAAAAAATTCATTTAGTTTCATGCATGTTGACAATATATTATTATGATCATTAAAAAAAGAACAAGTTTATTTTTTTAATTTTCAATGTTAAAATTTGTTTTAAATAAAGTATTAGTTTTTTTAGTTTTATTTTTTTATAATTGTAAAATTTATGAAAATTAAAATTAAAAACCAAAAAACATCCCGCTAAGTAATGGGTTTTAATTTTATTTTAAAAAAGTTGTGATTTTGTTAAGTAGCAATCCAAAATTTCTTATTAATTTCTAAACTGTAGCACCCATGATTTTGCAATTGAAATTGAATTGAACTGAGTTGAGGAAAATCATCAACCATTGCACCAAAAGCTTTGGTATGCCTTTTCAGCTCTCAAGTCTCAACTTATCATCAAGAACTTGGACTGGTGAAGCCTTTCAATGGTTGTAACAAGAACTTGAGATTGACCTTCGCAAAAATGGTATATTAATTCATATACTTTTTAAGTTCATTGAAATGACCTTTCTATCACCGCACCTATCATTCAGCTAAATTAAGTAGTCCAAAATTTTAACAAATGATGCAAATACACAGCACCTTTCCGTAAGACCATGACATTTCTATCATGTCTCTTGTTGATTGTCACTTATGGCCTATTTTTTTGTGACATGTTTA